CCCTTTCGACCATTCGACGAATCCTCACCTCTTCAAATACCAATTCCACCGCTTTCGCGTCTTACTATTCACGAGCGACGAGAAATTGAGAGACAAGTTTTACGAAACTTGAGAAGAATTTCGATAACGATCCTCGAGTAAAGTTCAATCAGTCCCTCTACGCCCAAGGCAAGGCTGTACACGCTTTGGCATGCAGCACGAAATCCAAAGTGCAGAATCGTCGTCGCCGATATCGCTCTCTGAATCGACAATCAAAAGCTGCGTGTGCAGTTATGCGCCACGAATCGACATATAGTATACACTCTTCCTTCGAGCGCACGACGATAGTTTCGAGGGAAAAACCAGTCATCGTCGGAGAAAGCAACGTTTCTCGCGACTGTAAAACGCCTCGCGATAGAATCCTATTGATCGATCCTTCGATCCTAGGTAAACATCGTACGTAAATCGCGCATCGATGAAAACGCGAATAAAATATTGACGAGAATCGTAGAGGCCGAAAAAAAATCAGTTCGATCGAAAAACGAATTTCGCGTCTTTTATATATATATATATTTATGAAAAATGGAAACAGAAATCGCAATTAATCGATGGGTTTTCTCCGCTTATCGATACTTTTCGATATACGAAAAATACGAAAGAAATCCGAGAAAGAACGAAAAAAAAAAAAAAAAACGAATCATCCTTTCGTTCTCGTACTACGAGCAAGGAGCAAAGTGCGTGCGCGAATTACGTGCGTGTCCGTACAACTCTGGGATCGACCAGAGGACACGTATGTATATAAAGTAAGTACGTAGAACGGCACGCACACTATTCACGAGGGTCAGTCATCGTATTCATCGGTATGCGACTCGCTCCTCGTGGTTGTTCTTGTTAAGTTACAAAACACCGTAAGGTAGTAGCCCTTGCAAAGATCTCCCAGCTCGGTGGAAATCGCGACGACGAACGATCGTCGGACGATCGTCTCGTAGCTCACCACCCACCAACAGAGGAAGAGAACGTTGAGTAATCCAGGGACACACGAGAAACTTGATAACCAACTCGTTGGTCCCCTCCCCCCTCCCCTCCCCTCCCTCCCTCCTCCTCCTCCTCCTCCTCCACCGTCCCTCCTTGTTCCATTCGCGGCTACGTGGAAATAACTATCACCACGTACAATGCCACGCCGCGACGATCTCGTTTTCCTTCGAGATTAACCTACGATTCCCGTTCCTCTTCCATCGATCCACCATGGCGGTCCCGTGATATCTCGGGACAACGCTCGTTAACAACGTGGCGCGCATCCGTTCGATGAGATATGCGAATTATTTTCTCGCCGGTTTCGATCGATCTCTATTATTCCAGAAACGAAATTCCAGATATAGAGATCGATGCGTGGACCACATTAATTAATTTCCCAAGATGTGAAAAAAATCGAAAGCGACGAGAAGATAGAGAAAGGGAAAAGTACGAGAAAAAGATCAAGTATAGAAATGTATATACGTATCTTAATGTTAATCCGCGATACGCGAGAAAGACAAGATTCGCGTGTTCGCGCATGAGGAATGGCAATTAAAAGGAGACGGAGATGCTTATGACGGTCTCGACTTACGACTTTTAGAGAGTGGAAGAGAGAAGATGTCTGGGATGTTGATAGGGCAGTAGAAGGTATAGTAGAGCCGCGATCGCAATGCGAGTAGCGCGATGCGAGAGCAGGCCGTGCGCGCGGTGGCTGGAGCGACCGGTGCACGCCAATGCATATACATATATCTCTGCCTCGTCGTTGCACTCGGGAATGCGGTCTATAGCGCGTAGGATCGAGAGCGAACCGAGGGAGTAGACCGGGCAGAGAAACAAGAAGAAGGACGACGACGATCGGACAGAGAGGCGAAGAAAGGACGAGAAGAGGCAGGGTATATACGGTCGAGGGAGCGGGTGTGTACGCGAGTAAGAGGCAAAGGACGAGACTGAACGCGCGATAAAAGAGAGGAAAAGAGAGGGAAAGAGAGCGTGCACGGCAGTCGTAAACGGCAACAATTGCTGCGGGCGTTGCCACTCGAAACCTCGAATGCCTAATGCCAGATGTCAGACGGTGGTTAGAGTCATTACGGTCATCACTTTGTACCGCGATACAGGATGCGTATCGGGGTCCGATCGATGCGCATCGCATACTTTACCTCTAAATTCCGTTTACGCTCGTTTCGACCGGGCATCGATACCTTTCGTAGCCGATATTACGATATTTTCGAAAACGCAGCGGTGATGATCCTTTCTTTTTTCTTTTTCTTTTTTTTTTTTTTTTTTTTTTTTCCCCGTTCCGATCGCCCTTCTCGCCCACCCTTGGAGGAAAACTTGGACAAAAAAAAGAAGTCGCAGTTTAACGATTCTCGCGATTGCCAGTTAGGACGGGTAATGGAAGGGCGGTTAGCGCGAAGAAGATGAATCGGAACCCGTGACTCGCCACGCACAACGGGCAGACGAATATTCACTCGGCCGATGGTTTATACGAATAGTTTTGCGCACGAACGCGCGCATACGAGTTTGTACAGAATGCAAAGGTGGTAAGAGGTGTTAAGTTTGCCAACCAGATGAAACGAATGTATCGAAACTCGTGTCGATTTCTCGTGGTAGCTCGTATCTTTCGCTCGTATCGATAAGCCGAACGATTCGCGGGAACACGAATACAAAGGGGCGGTGAAATTCTGTGGGAAACGCGAAAGGATTCGACTCGCGTCATCGTGATGATACTTTCGAAACCCGTTTTCGTTCGCTATATTCGAGAACGTAATATGGTACGTATGTACATATGTATGTATACACGCGTGTACCTTTGGTCTCTTGAAACTAGAGAAACAAGAAAAACAAGAAAAAAAGGAATGGAGAGAAGAAGAGAGGAGAGGAGAGGAGAGACACGCGAGGTTGCGGGAAGAAGGAAGGAGGAGAAAAGAAGGCGAAGAATCAAAGGGGTGGAGCCGGAGAACGAAAGGGGATGGAGCGAAAAGAAGCGGCCGGTTCGGGTTCGAGAAACCGACGGATGGGAGAGGCCGACGAAAAATCTGTAATTATAATAATTACAGCCGAGCGACCAACAATTATAAATCATCATTGAACTAGGCAACGAAACGCCGATAAAATATATATCGTACGAAAGTTGAAGGGGGGGGGGGAGGGAGGCAATCGTTAAGATCGGGTCGCGGTACGCGCACGCGGTATCCGTCTCCATGTTCGTTCGGCCGCCTACCACCCAATTGAAAAATATACTCGTTTCGTTCCTCTCGATATTTCCATCGACATTCGACATTCAACATTCGATGTACACATCAGCTCGAACATCGTTTCGTTTTATCCGTCGTTTCGATACAGATTCAAAAAATATACGGATCGAAGAAAAAAGAAAAAAGTTATAACTAAATTACCGCAACGTAACGTAATATCGTATAACGTATAAATATATTGCTACATAAGTACATGCCAAGTAAATGCGACTGGGGAAGAAGTTTCGTTGCGAAATGGGAAAAAGAGATTCGTTGAATAAAAATCGCGTAACGACTTTACTATCTCGCGCAAACGAGTGCCCAACGATATTAGCGCATAGCGTATATTTTCGATGATTATTTCGCGAAGCTTAAAACGATCATTCTTCAAAGAGGTCACCAGATAAAGTCTTTCACGCTCGCGTTCGCACGAGCGCGTAATTTCTTGTGCGGTTTGTCTCAAATTTCAGGAACGCGCGACACCTCGAATCGATTGACTTGCGCGACGAACGAATAGATATCGTTTCTTTGCTTTTTTGTAATCCCGTGTTACATATGGGAGGAGGGGGGGGAGGGGGGAGGTGATCGGGTTCTATCGGATTGGCAGAGGAATACTTACACACGCCATACAAATTCGATGTCGAGAGCAACTTGTTCTCTTGTTTTACATCGCTTCGAGGAAGAACATCGCAAGAGCCATCACGAAAAAAAAAAAACGCTACCAGATTTTCCCGCGCGAACGGAACGCGTCTCCGGCACGCGTACACAAGCGACGAGCAACGAGCAACGCGATTTTCGAGCGGAGGCCACCGACTCCGCTTCTCGATATTCCAATCCCTTTCTCATTCATCTCTTCTTACTTTACGTCCGCGATTATTCCTCGATTGGTTCGCACAGTGGCAAACGGTGTAGTACGCGCATCGAATGCGAATTAACGCGTTCCGATTTATTTCGTCTCCGCACCGTCGTCCGACACCACGACATTGAAATCATGGAATCAACGCCGTCGATCACGTTCGCGCCAACATCGAGCAACGCGAGGATCGAACGAGGAATCCGTCCGTCTATCGAATATGTATATTACGTATACCGTATTATACTCGAGAATATTTTCCACCATATATAAGACGCGGCACTGCTAATTGACAGAAGTATGGCGCGATGGAGAAAACGTTTGGAACGGCGGTACCAATTACGAGTTTCCCAGCGTAACGTGGATACGTGGCTTGCGGCGCGACCGGTCCCAGGCGCCGCTGCCCTTTCGGCCGGCTCACGCGCATTTACCGGGAACCTTTTTACAACATGGACAGAGTTTTACGCGATACATTGAAACCGACTCGTTGCAAGAAGATCGAAACACGCGAATCCGGGAGAAGATTCGTTCGCGCTATTAATTCGCGCCTCGTATCTCGCGTCGATCGTCCTCGACGATGACGGATCAATTGGAAGAAGCTTTATCTGTCGAACATCGACGCGAACGTCAATCTCTCGAGACGTTACCCGGGAAAGAGAGATTACGCAACGCGATGCGACACACAGCAAACGAACGGATGGTTCGAAGATAATTGACGAGCTCTCTTACCTTGAGGAAACAGCGTCCAACGGGCATATCCTCCGGTACAGTCGCGTTGTACAGCGGTTTCTCGAAGATGGGCTCGTTGTCGTTGAGATCGTGCACCGTGACACGCACTGTCGCGCTACTGCTCAAAGGAGGGCGACCCGAGTCTGTCGCGACCACGACCAGAATCGGGGCGGGATCGGCCTCGCAATCCACATGAGTTTGGGTCGATATTAGACCGGATGTTTCGTCGATGATGAACCACGTGGAATTCAATAGGGAATACTTGATAGCCGAGTTAGCACCTTCGTCGAGATCCGTCGCGGTCACCTTCAAAACCGGTGTACCCGGCTCGGAGGCTTCCAACAAATGAGCTTCGTATCTGTCTCGAGCGAATTTCGGGGCGTTGTCGTTCACATCGGTGACGATCAGACGAAAGGTTCGAACGGCTCTCAAAGGTGGCGTACCGGCGTCTGTCGCCTCCACCGAAAGATCGTAGACGGGCTTTTCCTCGCGATCGAGCGGCCTCTCCACCACCACCAAATATATTATGTTGTCCCTGGTAGCCAAGCCAAAATGTCCTTCGCCGCCGGACAACGTGACGGTAGCGTTCGAGTACTCGGTCCTCGAGTCCGGATCGCTTACCGATATTCTAGCGACGAATTCCCCCGGTTGAGCGCTCTCGCTTATCTTGGGGGTCGCGTCATCCGAGAGAAAAATAACGGTGATCGCGGGTTGATTGTCGTTCACATCGGTTACGCGGACCGAGAGGAACGCGCTCGCCTCCAGAGGTTGGGCACCACGATCCCGCGCAACGATCACCAACTCATGCCTCTCCTTCGACTCGAAGTCCAACGCTTTGTTCACGTACACCATTCCCGTTTCCGGATCGATACGAAACATCTCCTCGCGATCCGATTGTCGCCGATTGATCGAGTATTCTATGCGCCCGTTCTCACCTGCGTCACTGTCCGTCGCGTTCACTGCGAGCACAGGCGTCCCGACGGTCGCATTCTCCGGAACGCTCGCCACGTATCTGGTTTGATTGAAGATCGGCGGATTGTCGTTCACATCTTGTACCGTCACGTTCACGTGGAGTCTGGACCGAAGCGGTGGAGCACCACCGTCCAACGCCTCTATCACCAGATGATACCGAGACCGAGCCTCGCGATCGAGCGAGCCAGAATTCTGCAGATCCAGATAAAGGACACCGTCGCGGCCACGATGCTGGGACAATCTGAACGCGTCCTCGTGATTCCCGGACACGATCTCGTATCGTTGGGTCGAGTATTGGCCGAGATCGGGATCCTTGGCCGGTGGCAGAGCTCGTTTCGCGTCCCGAGGAGAATTCTCCGGAAATTCGATATCCACGTGGTCCACAGGAAACGTTGGCGCGTTATCGTTCTCGTCGAGAACCTTCACCACCACTTGAATGTTCTGCGGCAACGCTACCAAACTATAGGACGGCCTCGTCTCCCGATCCAACGCCACTTTTGTCCTTATCTCGCCTGTCGCGTGATCCACTATCAAGTCCGAATCGACCGCGGATCCGGAAACCGACACGATCAAGTACGGCGGACTGTCGGCGTCGATGAAACCCACCCTGGTACCCGGTCGAGCGTTCTCCGAGACCTCCAAGTATCTTACGAGCTCGGAACGCGTGCCCGGGGCGAGAGTCGCTCCCAGGACGAGGAACAGTAGCAGGTGCCGCATCCTGGGGGCCTCCACAACCACCTCCACCTCCACCTCCGCCCTCCTTCGTTATTATCTCGATCTTTCCATTCCTGAACGATCGATCGTGAGATGACGCCTCCGAATCTTCCTCATGCGGCCACGAAAACCTACACGCTTTCTCTCTCTCTCTCTCTCTCTCTC